GGCGATGAAGGCTCCCACCACCACCGTCACCGTCCTCAGCAGCGCCGGCGATGGCGACGACGAGGACGCCACCAGTCTCGATGACGCCGCCGCTTTCAATGCCGGTGATGCCGCCACCAATTTCGATGCCAATTTCGGTGACGATGATGCCAATGACGCCACCGATGCCGATGCCAATTTCGATGCCGATGACGCCGCCGATGACGATGACACGCCACCAATCAATGCCGGTGACGCCGCCACCAATTTCGATGCCAATTTCGGTGACGATGATGATGATGACACCGCCAATTTCAATGCCGATGACGTCACCGATGCCGATGCCGATTTCGATGCCGATGCCGATTTCGATGCCGATGATGTCGCCACCAATTTCGATGCCGATTTTGGTGACGATGATGATGATGACACCACCAATTTCAATGACGCCTCTGATTTTGATGCCGATGCCAATTTTGATGATGACGCCGCCGATGACGATGCCGATGACGCCGACGATGGCGATGACGATGCCGATTTCAATGCCGATGACACCAATGATGACGATGCCAATGCCGATGACGTCGCTGATGACGATGCCAATGCCAATTTCGATGCTGATGACGCCACCGATGATGATGCCGATTTCAATGCCGATTTCGATGACGATGATGACGGCACCAATTTCGATGACAATGCTGATGCCGATTTCGATGCCGATGATGACGCCAGCAATTTCGATGCCGATGACGCTGATGCCGATTTCGATGCCGACGCCAATTTCCACGACAACGCCAATTTCGATGACGCCGGCGATTTCGCCGCCGCCCCCAACCGTAGATTCGCCGAGCGCCGCACGGTGCGGTAAAGCCGGGCGTAGAGGATGACGATGGTGAGGAGGATGGCGAGGAAGACGGCGACGCAAAAAAAGACGTAACGTTTGGAATAAAGAGGGAGGACGGTGGAACACGCCGGCAGATCCCCCAAACAATTCCCCCCCAAGCCTGGCAACGCCGCCAACTTTCCGCGGCCCCCCCCCACCCCCCCGCCCCCAACGTCCACATCCGGCTTTTCCTGTCCCCTCCCCGCGTCACCCTGGCCTTGGCCATGGTCAAGTGGCGCTCAACGGCGATGGCCAACAAACTCAAGACCGAGGCGGCCAAAGTGAGGAAGACGCCGCCTTCGCGGAGGAACCAGAGCGCCGGCGTGAGCCGGAAGGTGTTGGCGCCGGAGAGGACAGGCGACGCCGGCCAGCAGGTCAGAGAGGGTGAGGTTGCCCAGCAGGTAGAACATGGGCGAGTGGAGTTTTTTGGTTTTCCAGATGGTCACCAGCACCAGCAGGTTCTCCAGCACGATGAAGGCGCACACCAGGAGGAAGAGGAGGCTCTCCGGGCGCAGG